TTCGACGGAAAATTCTTGGCTGAAAAACTGGAATTTTTTGGGAAAAATGGAAAAAGTGGTAGGAAGTTGGGAAAATCTAGGAAAGTGGTAGGTAGCATGGGGAGGGGGGTCGTATTTGAGGATGGAATTAGGGGGGTCGTATTTTTCAGGAAATGATCACAACGCGATGGCGTGCCCTGCACTTTTATCAATTCGTTTTGCCATCGCTGGATGGCAGTGCGACCTCGCCCCCGTCACTTGTGTGTCCTACGGGTGCCTCGGCCTCGTGGGCGGAGCGCACCTATCCTGGCGGAATCCTGGCGTTCTTACACAGCTTTTTTTGCGATGTGTTACTGGTACATCCTCATCGATTGCGGACGATGCCACCTTGTGTAAGGGATCTAAAACTACAGAACAATACCGTGCTGCCTTCGGCTCCTCTAATTTGCCCTTCTTCTTCAAGCGCGAATACAATTCTCCTCCGTCGGCATACTCCAGAATAATGTACACCCGTTGCCGATCATGAAAGTAGCCCTTCAGTCGAAGAATGTTAGGATGCCTTAAAAACAATTCTGTCAATCCATCACTCCAGGGAGGAGAGAAAATTATGCTAATTGCATTATGTCCTTACAGTAAATGATATTGTATTTCGATTTCCCGTTTTACTTGGTGCTGTACATTATATTTCTGGATTTTGTCTTTGAAAAGGACCTAAATTATCGAAATTATCTACCAGGCGAAGAAAATTCAGGGAGATGAAAAGAATTGGGGGTTCTAAACAAATATGGGTACGCAGTTCAATACTAAAGACAGTTGGCACTATAATTCGGAACTCTGGCCGAAACTGAAGCAGGGGTGCTAAATAGTGGGGAAACAGCGAAAAAGCGAAGTGAAGCGGTCCAAAACCTGCAAAAAATGTCTTTGTTCCACAGGACAGGATGCAATTTCGGACGAGTTTCCCGTTGGCATCGGGGGCGGTGACAGGTTCGGCATGGCACAAGCTCGTTTTTCTAATTGCTGTCCCCCGTCGATTCT